AGTTGAAACATTCACACCTAGCTTCAACAGACATGATGTGGACAAAGGACTTCATCTTTGCCTGTACTATCCTTCCTCCCAATGAGCAGTTGGGCTTTTTTATTTATATAGATGACAAAACATTATGGAGGGAGGATAGTGTAACTATATGGTTCTTCAAGATGTCTTAGGGAGGTAATGCCTTCCCTTAGGCTTCCACAATTAGTCACCTCTATCCTAGAAGTGTGGCCAAAGGTCAAGGACAATGGGATTTGTAGTCCAAAGAACTGGCTAGTGCAAATTAATGTCATTTGGTAACTTAGGAAAACAAAAAACATTGTTGGCTCTCTGTCTTCCAAATACGTATCTTCTCATCCCCGAAACTGGGAATATATTTTGTTATTTTTAAAACAAGCCCTTGAATGAGGACACCGAAAACTTCCCAAAAGTCACCAAACCCTGAACTCGATCTGATCCCGAGGCACATCTGCTAAACAAGTGAGATCATGGGTTATGAGCACATCGGCTCAGCTTGTTGCTGTGGATCCTAGTCTTTCATCATCGTGTTTTGCCTTTGCTTTGTTTTCTTCCAGTTTGCACGTGGGATTCGGCGTTCTCCTCTTGAAACATCTCCATTATCCCTATCTTTCGGCTGCCCTTTGGTTGGACTCGTTCCCAATAAATGGACAGCCAGATGGGATGAATTAACCGGATCCCTTGGGATGGTGGAGCTGAATGGAAACGACAAAGACCTTTTCCATTTTGCTGTACAATTTTATTTTTGGAAGAGTAATTTTGACCTTGTGAGATACGAAGGGCGTTCATTAAAGATTTCCCTTGACCCACTTCTATTTATAAACAGGATGCAGAGTTTTTAAGGTTGGCTTTGAGCCCATCTTTCAATCTCTTTTCCTGCCCACCAACATTCCATTTTCCATTCTTGAGTTCGGAGTAGAGCAACTGCTTTGGGAGATGGTCGGGCATCCGGACAACGTGGCCGGTCCAGCGGAGTTGATGGCGGAGGACCATCGCTTCAATGCTGGTGGTCTTTGCTTCTTCCAGCACGCTGACATTTGTCCGCTTGTCTTCCCAAGAGGTTTGCAGGATTTTCCAGAGGCAGCGCTGATGGAATCGTTCCAGGAGTTGAGTGTGACGTCTGTAGACAGTCCACGTTTCGCAGGCATAGAGCAGGGTTGGGAGGACAACGGCTTTATAAACAAGCACCTTGGTCTCCCTATGGATGTCCCGGTCCTCAAACACTCTCTGCTTCATTCAGAAAAATGCTGCACTCGCAGAGCTCAGGCGATGTTGAGTTTCAGTGTCAATGTTAATGTCTGTAGACAGTCCACGTTTCACAGGCATATAACAGGGTTAGGAGGACAATGGCTTTATAAACAAGCACCTTGGTCTCCCTATGGATTTCCCAGTCCTCAAACACTCTCTGCTTCATTCAGAAAAATGCTGCACTCGCAGAGCTCAGGTGTTGTATTTCAGTGTCAATGTTAATGTCTGTAGACAGTCCACGTTTCACAGGCATATAGCAGGGTTGGGAGGGCAATGGCTTTATTAACAAGCACCTTGGTCTCCCTACGGATGTCCCGGTCCTCAAACGCTCTCTGCTTCATTCAGAAAAATGCTGCACTCGCAGAGCTCAGGTGGTGTTGAGTTTCAGTGTCAATGTTAATGTCTGTAGACAGTCCACGTTTTGCAAGTGTATAGCAGGGTTAGGAGGACAATGGCTTTATAAACAAGCACCTACGGATGTCCTGGTCTTCAAACACTCTCTGCTTCATTCGGAAAAATGCTGCACTCGCAGAGCTCAGGCGGTGTTATATTTCAGTGTCAATGTTGACTTTGGTGAGACAGGATGAGTGCACTGTCAAATTAATGCAGTTTGATGTCACTTGAACTGGCAAAGATTGTTAGCGGCTCACCAAACTACAGTTGCCAGGATTTCATAGCATTTCTGGTTAATATGGCGTCAAACTGCATTTATTTGACAGTGTCATTGCACCCTTATTGGATGAGAAAATCGACCGCACCTCAAATAACAACAGAAGTCCAGTTATTTTGGATGTCAGCTCACAGAATCCTTCACTGCTGGCCAAGCTGGTTGGGGCTTCTGGGGTTTGAAGCTCCTTGAAGGATGAAAGCTTGGGAAGCATAGCAGTAATATTTAATTGATAATTGAGGATCTGCATTTCGAAAAGGTGTCAGCGGAATGAGGCAAACAGCGTGTGCTAAGCTGGCAATCTCATTCACATTTCTAATGGAGGTTGCTGCCCTGTGTTACATAAAAAGTCAATTATTATTTTTTTCCACAGCTTCTCTTCTGACAAACTGGAAATTGTAATATGGGGGTATGCCGCCACCGTGTGTCTATGTCATGCCATAGCAAGGCAGAAGATGGGACCAGTAAACAAAACACAGATGGTGCTTTCACCATCTCCCCTTCCTTGATCATTGAATCATAGAATCAAAGAGTTGGAAGAGACCTCATGGGCCATCCAGTTCTATCTCCTGCTAAGAAGCAGGAAAATCATATTCAAAGCACCCATGACAGATGGCCATCCAGCCTCTTTTTAAAAAGCTTCCAAAGAAGGAGCCTCCACCACACTCCGGGGCAGAGAGTTCCACTGCTGAACGGCTCTCACAGTCAGGAAGTTCTTCCTCATGTTCAGGTGGAATCTCCTTTCTTGTAGTTTGAAGCCATTGTTCCGCGTCCTAGTCTCCAAGGAAGCAGAAAACAAGCTTGCTCCCTCCTCCCTGTGGCTTCCTCTCACATATTTATACATGGCTATCATATCCCCTCTCAGCCTTCTCTTCTTCAGGCTAAACATGCCCAGCTCCTTAAGCCGCTCCTCATAGGGCTTGTTCTCCAGACCTTTTATCATTTTAGTCGCTCTCCTCTGGACACATTCCAGCTTGTCAATATCTCTCTTGAATTGTGGTGCCCAGAACTGGACACAATATTCCAGGTGTGGTCTAACCAAAGCAGAATAGAGGGGTAGCATTACTTCCCTAGATCTAGACACTATGCTCCTATTGATGCAGGCCAAAATTCCATTGGCTTTTTTTGCCACCACATCACATTGTTGGCTCATGTTTAACTTGTTGTCCACGAGGACTCCAAGATCTTTTTCACACGTGCTGCTCTCGAGCCAGGCATTGTCCCCCATTCTGTATCTTTGCATTTCGTTTTTCCTACCAAAGTGGAGTATCTTGCATTTGTCACTGTTGAACTTCATTTTGTTAGTTTTGGCCAATCATCTCTCTAATCTGTCAAGATCGTTTTGAATCCTGCTCCTGTCCTCTGGAGTATTGGCTCTCCCTCCCAATTTGGTGTCATCTGCAAACTTGATGATCCTGCCTTCTAGCCCTTCATCTAAGTCATTAATGAAGATGTTGAACAGGACCGGGCCCAGGACGGAACCCTGCGGCACTCCACTCGTCACTTCTTTCCAGGATGAAGAGGAAGCATTGGTGAGCACCCTCTGGGTTCGTCCATTTAACCAATTACAGATGCTTGAATGTGAGTCAAGGACTAGTGGAAAAACACACACAAGTGTTGCATGCTTTGCTCTCATTTGGCCTCACCCTTCCTTCATCTTTGGCACTACCAGCCGCTAATGTTTATAGCTGCTGGGGTTCAGACTATCACAGCCAAACAAGGACACATATAGAATTATTCCAAGTGAGTCTGAAGGCCTTGTTGGATTCAAGACTTGGAGTTCTCCATCACCACCCAATTTCCAAGTTCATGGCACCTGGGAAACTGAATGATGATGGAGAACATCAAGGCCTGAATCCATCTGGAATGATTCCTCTTGTGTCCTCCTTGTGTTTGAGGGTATATTTTGGGGAGTACCCCTCCCAACATCCTCATCACCAATCTCATCATCGAGAAAACTGAAGTACTCTTCCAGCAGTCACCAGCCAATCCTCCTCCAATGCCAGAAATACAGCTTAATGGTGTAACATTAGAAAATGCTGACCATTTCTGCTCCCTTGGCAGCCATCTCTCCACAAAAGTCAACATTGACACTGAAATACAACACCACCTGAGCTCTGCGAGTGCAGCATTTTTCCAAATGAAGCAGAGAGTGTTTGAGGACATCCGTAGGGATACCAAGGTGCTTGCTTATAAAGCTATTGTCCTCCCAACCCTGCTATATGCCTGCGAGACATGGACTGTCTACAGAAATCACATGCAACTCCTGGAACAATTCCATCAGCTTTGCTTCCGAAAAATCCTGCAAATCTCTTGGGAAAACAAGTGGACAAATGTCAGAGTGCTGTAAGAAGCAAAGACCACCAGCATTGACGTGATGGTCCTCCGCCATCAACTCCGCTGGACAGGCCACGTTGTCCGGATGCTCGACCACCATCTCCCAAAGCAGTTGCTCTTCTCCGAACTCAAGAATGGAAAACGGAATGTTGGTGGACAGGAAAAGAGATTGAAAGATGGGCTCAAAACCAACCTTAAAAACTCTGGCATAGACACTGAGAACTGGGAAGCCCTGGCCCTTGAGTGCCCCAGCTGGAGGTCAGCTGTGACCAGCAGTGCTGTAGAATTTGAAGGGGCACAAATGGAAGGTGAAAGAGGGAAACAGGCCAAGAGGAAGGTGGGTCAAGCCAACCCCGACTGGGACCTCCTTCCACCTGGAAACTGTGGAAGAACATGAAGGTCAAGAATAGGGCTCCGCAGTCACCTACGGACCCACCTACAGTACACTGATCTTGGAAGACTATCCTACTCGGAAACGAGGGATCACCTAAGTAAGTAACTATTCAGAGTGAGTCTGAACTCACTTGGGTTCAAGACTTGGGGTTCTCCATCACCACCCAATTTCCAAGTTCATGGCAACTGGGAAACTGGATAGAGAACATCAAAGCCTGAATTCAACTGTAGCCTCTGGAATGATTCCTCTTGTGTCCTCCTTATGTTTGAGGGTATATTTTGGGGAGTACCCCTCCCAGCATCCTCATCACCACACCAGTCCCTAGGGAGAAGGAAGTACCTGTAGTCCCAAGTTGACCACCAGAATTGGGGCTTCATCATTGGTTGGGATGATGTTGATGTTGACCGTCTTGGGTTGGCTCTGCTGGTTGACCTTGGAGATGTTGGCCACCACTGTGAAGTGGTCAGTCAAGGATTCGCTCCCATCATGGACATATCGGATAAGCTGATGCTCTACCTGAACGTAAGGAGAAAATCACCATAAGGGCCTCACTTATTTATTATTTATTATTATTTATTATACTTCTACTTCACTCTTCTCACCCTGAAAGGAACTCAGTGGCTTACAGGTATTTCAAAAAGACGTTGCTACTACCAGTTGTCTCTCACATGAAACCACCAAAATGTACCATCTAGTGGTGCATTGAATAAGCTCTGAATTTTAGTCTGAACTTTGAAGGAGATATCTAGAAATCTCTAGATCCTCCAACATGACACCATGGTCAACTTCCAGTAGACATTGACCATAAAATTGTGCTTGAGGAGGTATACCTTAATCCCAGAATGAACATATTTATCAAATCCATGAATAATCTAAACCCTCAAATGTAGTGGGCTGATTCATACCTCATACCAGGAGAAGACATTCACGTCATCTTCTTCTGGTCTCTCCACGTTCTGGAAAACGCCATGCTCAGGAGCTTCAAGGATGACAAACTCCACATTAAGAGTTGTAAAATATGTGCCGGGTATATTTAGGACATCCATGGAGAGCACCTGACTGCTCCCTTCAGTCACGGTGAAGTTGTGAACTTCTAATGGGATGGAAATCGGAAGGATGTCCAGGCCCACCACGATCCCGTCCAGAGCATCAACTCCATTGGCTGTGATGTCCACTGTGAACTGGTCACCGTCTATATCTGGGCTGGATTGCAGGTAGAGGACCTTGCCTTCGTTGATGTCTTCTTGGGTGAAAGTCTGGATTGGGTCCAAGGTTATGGGTTCATCTGGAGTGTGGCCCTGAGACAAGGCCACCAGAAATCCAGAGAGGGGAGGTATGGTGACAGTGTAGAGGATCTCATGGGGAGGTATGTCTTCATGCTCAACCTGCAACAAGAGAGGAACAGGTAAGACTGCCCATGTGTTGTGGATTACTTCCTTGGTTCCCAACTAGACATTATTTCTACTTATCTAACTGGTAAGGAGATTGGGTTGTTGTAGGTTTTTCGGGCTATATGACCATTTTCTAGAAGCATTTTCTCCTGATGTTTCGCCTGCATCTATGGCAGGCATCCTCAGAGGTTGAGAATTGGTAAAGAGATTACCAATAAGTTTCCAGGCCCAAATCAAGGTGTAGGTGATTATCTATAAATCCCAATACACTTTGGGTCCAGCCTATCTTCAAGGCCACATCTCTTTCTATGAACCGGCGCAGGCTCTGAGATTGACAAGGAGGCCCCCCTCTCAGTCCCACCACCGTCTCAAGCACAGTTGGTGGGGATGAGAGAGAGGGCCTTCTCTGTGGTGACCCCCCAAGCTCTGGAATACACTTCCAAAAGTGATTAGATTAGCTCCCACCCTTCAATCTTTCCATTCCAACCTGAAAACATGGATGTTCAGACGGGCCACTGACCTTGGGTAGGCTGAATGTGAATTGTGAATTGACGACAGTTTAGTTTTATCTACTGTTGTTTTAAAATCGTATTATTTTGATTTTACGCTACATGTGTTTATGGGAGTTGTTATAATTTTATGTGACTTGTTTTATACTTTTGTACCCTTTTTTATCCTGTTGCATTGATTTGGAGATATTGGAAATATAGATATTCATACATATATTAGCGGTACCCGCCATGTGTTGCTGTGGCCAACCTTCCCTCTTTCTCCTTTCTCTCCTTCCTTCACTCCCTCTTTCCTTCCTTCCTTCTCATCTTTCCTTCTCTTCTTCCTTCCTTCTCTATCTCTTTTCTTCTTTCCCCCTTTTTCTTTCTCTTCTGCTGTCTCTTTTCTTCCTTCTCTTCCTTCTTTCCTTCCCTCCCTCTTTCTCTACATCTTCCCCCTTCCTTCACTCCCTCTTTCCTTCCTTTTCCCTTTTTTCTTTCCTTCTCTCCTTCCTTCTCTAGCTTTCCTTCCCCCCATTTCTTTCCCTTCCGCTTTCTCTCCTTTCTTCCTTCTCTTTCCTTCCTTCCTTCTCTCTTTGCTTCCATGCTTCTTTCTCCCTTTCCTTCTTTCTTTCTTTCCCTTTTTTCTCCCCTTCAGCCTTCTCTTCTCCTTAAGCCGCTCCTCATAGGGCTTGTTCTCCAGACCCTTGATCATTTTAGTCGCCCTCCTCTGGACACATTCCAGCTTGTCAATATCTCTCTTGAATTGTGGTGCCCAGAATTGGACACAATATTCCAGATGTGGTCTAACCAAAGCAGAATAGAGCATGGGGAGCATGATTTCCTTAGATCTAGACACTATGCTCCTCTTGATGCAGGCCAAAATCCCATTGGCTTTTTTTGCCGCCACATCACATTGTTGGCTCATGTTTAACTTGTTGTCCACGAGGACTCCAAGATCTTTTTCACACGTACTGCTCTTGAGCCAGGCATTGTCCCCCATTCTGTATCTTTATTTATATCCCGTCGCATCTCTTTGGAAGGGCTCGAGTGGCTTACAACATACATACAACATACACCTCACTACCTCTGAGGATGCTTGCCATAGATGCAGGCGAAACGACAGGAGAGAATGCCTCTAGAACATGGCCATATAGCCTGAAAAAACCTACAACAATCCAACATACATAAATACAATGAACAATATGGGCAAAATAAGTAGGCAAATAATAACACAACAAGTCTGTAAGAAAGAGAAATAGATTAACAATAAGCAATATAAAAACATTCGTCAAAACACAACTGTATGTTTAGAAAATGCATGACTTACCAGTAAGTAGTCGCTCTTAATTTCCACAGCTTCTCCTTGGAGGATGTGGATCCTTTCGTTGTGAACAATCTTCAACGGGTCTGTTTGGGAATCTGGATATATTGTGATTTTCAGTACCTCTTCCACAGTCACCTGATTTGCTTCGACAGAGATGTGGATTTTATCCTGGGAATTCTTGCTCCCATTATGGTGGTGGTAAAGAACGTCTCCCACAAGCAGGTCCTTCTGGGTGAAGGAAGACACTTCCTGCCCATCTCGCAACACCACACCCCACTTGGGTGGGGCTATGATGCGGAAGAGGATGTCTTCATCGTTCCTGATGTCCATGTTGGTTTCCAAGCTAAGGATGGAAGAGTCGAGGGTTGCTTGACCACCTTGGTGGACAATTAGGTCACTGCGATTGTGGATTTTGATGTAAGGGTCCGAGGCTTGGACTTCCAGAAGTGTGGCAACCTGGTGCAGGCCATCAGAAACCTGGAACTGGATCCAGCCTCGGTTAGCTCCAGAGTGGACAAAGAGAATCCTTTTCTTCCTTAGGTCATCTTGGGTGAAGCGGTAGACCTGTCGACTTCTGTCGTCAGCGGCAATGATGCTGCCAAAGAGGATGTCCTTCCTTACAAACACCAGTTGTGTGTCTGAGAAGCCCGAATCCTCATCAATAAAGGCAATGTCATTGGTTGTCATCAGGCGCTGCCCATTCCGCACCACATTGAAGACCTTGTTGACCGCCTGGACTGGGGTGTGGTCATTAACAGGCTGAATGGAGACCCGGAAGACACCTCTCACGTCCTCCGCATCTAAGTCAGAGCTTCCCTCTACCTGCTTGATGGCCACAAATGGGATATCGTCCTCCAGAGTCTCTGAATCATCATGTTGGTACACAAGACGGCCCTGGAGGATATCTTCATTGGTGAATTTTGTTATCACTTCCTTGCTGGATGGTGAAGTCTCCGACGTTCTCCACATCAGCCTCCCATTGGTTGGACCATCTATCACTTCATACAGGTAATTGGCGTTGTTAGCACTCTTGATGAACAAGTGGTCTTTGGAAATGATGGCCTGTCCTCCTTCTAAAATGGACAAAAGGACATTGGTCAGAACTGGAACTTCTGGATCTCCTCCAATCTGTATTTTGTAGGTGTAGATGGGAGAATAGTGGGCTCCAGACATGATGCGGAACTGGAAGGAATCTTCTGACTCCTTTGGGTCTCTGATGGTCACACTGTAACTCAGCTGATTGTTTTTCAGATCCTCCTGTGTAAAGCCAAAGCCTTCCACCAACCTCATGCCATGTAGCTCAAGGTTGCCCTTTTTGGGTGGCTGAATGATTGTGTAGTGGAAAGACTCCAGGCTAGAACTTGACTCTTCCAAAGCTGCCTCCATTTCCGCAGTGGTGATGTTCATCGCTTTTTCATGTTTCATCTGGAGAGGGACCATGGTCTTCATCTTGATGGTGGCTCTCGTAATCCTGATGAGGAAGGTGTTGTTTCTCAGGATCTTCTGGCCCACTTGGACAACGAACCCCAGCTTATCAATCATGTCTTCTGTATGCTGCTCCTCATCTGTGCTGACATACTGAATGCGACCTTGCTCCACATCTTGTTGGTGGAAAGATTCTACTTTCTTCCATTCTCCACCCAGGTTCCCTTGCTTTTGGATTTCACCATACTGGAGAGGCATAGTCAAGCGATACAAGATGGGGACTTTTTGCTGGACTGCATTGGTCTCCACAGAAAGGTTGGTGGTGGTGATTGGAACAACACCTCCCTGAGCAACAAGGAGTCCCGTGTTGTTACGAACCTGGATGTCTGGCTCCACGGCAACAATTCTCAAGGTGGCCACTGGGCTCATGACCATGCCATCATTGACTTGGAGAATGAGTGATGACGTTGGTCCATTCTGGTGGATATAGGCCACGTGACCTGCTTCCAGGTCCCTGCAGGAAAACTCCTCAATGGGAACTCCAGGATGGAAATCATATTCCACGTAACCTTCTTCCATTCTTTTCCCACCAAGCAGCTGGAACCTCAAGCTGTCACAGGGGGTGTCATCATCAAGGGCTTGGAGAATGTCAGGGTTGAGATGCTTGCGCGTGTGCTCCAGGATGACTATGCGGTCTCCATGTGGGAAGATGATTTCTGGAGCATCATTGACTGGGTTGACCTTGATAGGCAGAAGATATATCTGACCTTGCCACAAACACTCTGGGATTTCTCCCCGGGCAGTGACGGTGACCTCCAAAAGCAGCTGATCCATAGGGCCCTCCGAACCGTCATGGATATACTTGACTTTCCGGTTCACAATGTCCAACAGAGTGAACTTCCTTCTGTTTCTGGCCCTGGAGATGTCCAGTTGCAGCTCTCCATGTCTGGGGTCAGTGGTTACGCTGAAGAGGACCTGAGACTGCCGGATGTTGGCGCTGCTTAGATCAATAGTAGGTTGGGTGTGACGCCACTCCAGAAAAGCTGTCCCACCTTCCGCAACCCCCAGAGGACTGACATGGAGAAGTTTGGTGAAGTTGGCAAAGACGGGGGGAAGATTTGGGTCAGGGTGGCAGGGCTCCATGACTGGTCCCTGCCAGTCGTCTAGAGGAGAGCTTGTGGTAGCCTCATCCTGCTCATAGCTATCACTGTAGTCCGAATAGTCCTCAAGCTTCCCGCATCCAGCAGTTACGTCCCTCGTGACGAGAGCATCTTGAAGGCTTCTCTTCTCCTGGTTTACCCTCAAGTCTTCGATGCAGCCAACAAAAGAGCTGTTGGAGAAGCTGTTTCCAGACACACGTGCCAACCCATGCTCTCGCACCCTGGCAGCGGCCTTCTCATTTAGACCTCCTACAAAGAGGGGTCCTTGGAGATCGAGGTGGCTGTGAATCCCTTTGTTGGAGGTCTGGGAGGCATAGTAGTCGACAAGGATCTCAAACTTCCGGACGTCCATGTAGACCTTGACCAAAGATAGGAAAGTTAGTAGAAAAGCATTAATGCATTGAATTCTTCACTCCTATCCTAGCAAAAACATTCAAATCAATTACATTTACAGTAGAAGTAGGGGGAAAGGTTAATGTTGGAGTTCAGCCTGTGTTTGTGTTTCAGGATCAAGTTGCTTCTCTGCAAAGTTCTGGAGAGACTTATTCTGCATAGAATTATGGAAAAAATAGATCCCTGTCTGATTCCACAGCAAGCTGGCTTCAGGAAAGGCAAAAGCTGCACATCGCAAGTGCTGAACCTGACTCAGCACATAGAAGATGGCTTTGAAAGGCAGCAGATCACAGGAGCTGTCTTCATAGACCTGTCAGCAGCCTATGATACTGTGAACCACCGCCTCCTTCTGAGAAAAATGTATAATATCACAAAGGACTACCACCTCACCCGCTCATAGGAAACCTGCTACAAAACAGGAGCTTTTTTGTTGAGTTCCAGGGCCAGAGAAGCAGATGGCGGAAACAGAAGAACGGCCTGCCTCAGGGGAGTGTGCTTGCTCCATCCATGTTCAACATCTACACAAATGAGCAGCCACTGCCAGAAGGGACAGAGAGTTTCATCTATGCTGATGATCGTGCCATTACCGCTCAAGCAGGGAGCTTTGAGATGGTAGAACAGAAGCTCTCCGAAGCTCTAGGTGCTCTTACTGCCTACTACAGGGAAAACCAACTGATCCCTAATCCATCTAAAACACAGACATGTGCCTTTCACCTTAAGAACAGACAAGCATCCCGAGCTCTGAAGATTACCTGAGAAGGAATCCCACTGGAGCATTGCAGCGCACCCAAATACCTGGGAGTCACTCCGGACCGTTCTCTGACCTACAAGAAGCACTGCCTGAACATCAAACAAAAAGTGGGTGCTAGAAACAATATCATACGAAAGCTGACTGGCACAACCTGGGGATCACAACCAGATACAGTGAAGACATCTGCCCTTGCGCTATGCTACTCTGCTGCTGAGTATGCATGCCCAGTGTGGAACACATCTCACCACACTGAAACAGTGGATGTGGCTCTTAATCAGACATGCCGCATTATCACGGGGTGTCTGCGCCCTACACCACTGGAGAAATTACACTGCTTAGCCGGTATTGCACCACCTGACATCCGCTGGGAAGTAGCAGCCAATAGTGAAAGGACCAAGGCAGTGACATCTCCAGCTCATCCCCTGTTTGGGTATCAGCCAGCACGTCAACGACTTAAATCTAGAAATAGTTTTCTAAGATCTACAGAGACACTCGCTGGAACACCTCAGCAAGCGAGAGTCCAAAAGTGGCAGGCTCAAACCCAGACCTCAACAAATGGCTGATACCAAATGAGAGACTCCCCCCTGGGCACACAGAAGACTGGGCGACTTGGAAGGTGCTGAACAGACTGCGCTCTGGCACCACGAGATGCAGAGCCAACCTTCAGAAATGGGGCTACAAAGTGGAATCAATGACATGCGAGTGTGGAGAAGAGCAAACTACAGACCACCTGCTGCAATGCAACCTGAGCCCTGCCACATGCACAATGGTGGACCTTCTTGCGGCAACACCAGAGGCACTCCAAGTGGCCAGATACTGGTCAAAGGACATTTAATCAGCTACCAAATTGCAAAATTTGTGGGGTTTTTTATCTGTTTGTTTGTTTTGTTCTGTTAGAAATGTAATACAATGTTCTGGTTGCGGATGACACGATAAATAAAAAGGTGCTTCTGATGTGGGGAATGATGTCACTGAGGGTCAAGATGGAGATGGTTTGGTCAATGATATTAATGCAGAGAATGACATAGGGACACCGGTTCAAAGTGTAGTTTCCCATGAGAATGTTCCTACAGGGTATAGGGATGATAGTTTACTCCCAGAGAGTTCCCAAGATTTGGGGTTTGAAAACAACTTGACACCTGGAAAAATTAATGAGCAGATAGATAATAAGCACATAGACATGAAGCCGAGCATGACCCCGCTCCCAATAAGAGATAGTAACTAGGCTTGGGTAACAACGGAAAAAATTGTTTCTAAACTCGTTTCATTTTTAGGGGTCCATCGCGTTTCGTTTTTTTAAAGAATTCCAAAATTTTCCTTTTAAAAATTTTGAAATTTACGAAATTTCGTATAATTACGAATCGATTCGTTAATGGCGACGCGATTGCGCAATATGCTAAAAAAACCTCCAAATGGGACAGGGGGAACTTCTGAAGCTTCCCTCTCCCTCTGTTGTTGACTGTTGGTGTGATAAAACAAACAACAACTATAAAACTTGCACCAGACATGCGAAAATAATGACGAAATAATTACGAAATAATTTCGAAATAATTTCGAAATAATAATGAAATAATTACGAAATAAATTGAAAAAATTGTTTCGAATCTAATTTACTCCTCACACTATTCCTGCATGGCTCAATATTGGATCGTAAGCTAATTTAAATACGAATTAATAACAAATTACGAAATTAATGAACGAAACCGCCCAAGCCTAATAGTAACTTATAGTTCTGCAAAGGGTAAGGGCACCAGACCGCACAATAGGGGTTGAGTCTTGGTCAATTTGCAAAGACACTAACAACAGCAAGGACCCTATGAGGCTTTCAGGGAGCAGAGTGGTCCCTGGGCTCCAGCCTATGGAAGGAGTTACAGTTTTCCAAGGACCATGGGACTGGCTTTCATCCCAGCGCTGCAGGGCTTTGTGTTTTGGCCCAGTGGAACTCCATAGACTCATTTTGGTGGCTTTTTGATTTCTGCCACATTCCTGGACTCTTTTCAAGGACTCACTCTCTACCCATCAACTTTCTTCAAGACAACTTATGGAATCATGTTGTGTCATGATATCGTTTGCATTTTATTATTGCTATTATTAATTCCTCTCTGGGGACCTGGATGGGAAGGTACCTGCATATGATTCCCCTGTGTATAATCTCTATATGATTTCTATGTTTCCTTGTGTTCCTGACCCTTTGCCCCATTCTCCCCCTAAAGAAATATGTAAGGGGATCACCTGGCCTTCAGGAACAAAAGCCATTAGCGATTACAGAAACCGCCCCAGCCAAAGACACTCTTGCATGGATAATAGGAAAGGATTCTTATTTCTAACTTCGGAGATGGCCCATTAGAGTAAGAATTGTTTGGCAAAGTTTCTATCACTCTTCAAGTAAGATAAGGGGAAATATTCCCCTCTGCTTTTTGTTTACTTCCCATTGATAGCATTAACCCCAGGGTGCCCTCATTGTTCTCCTGTCTCACAGCCAGGAAGGATCTAGATATTTTTACACAAGTTGATTTACAACACTCAAAACACAATAGGACAGCCCGGCTTGAGCTTTTTGTCTCGCAGACCACATGGCATTTCCTCTTTTAAAGACTCATTCACAGATTCCTTTGTGTTCTGGAGTGCAACAGTTAACTAGAAAATTCCCACTTAGGTGAAGCAACTTGACTAAAAGCATTAGCAAGATGAAACTGGGGGCAAAAAAAAGAAAAAGAAAAGAAAAGAAAAAAAAGAAAAAGCCCTTGGCGATTTTATTATATTCATTCCATTCACCTTCTTCCTTGGGAGAAAAAGAAATGGTTGAATGCATTTTTTCAAAAGCCAATTTCTCACTCGCTGGACCAAAACTCCATCTCTTTCTTTCTCATTCTTCCTCCATTATAATCTCAGCTTCTTAAGCGCCAACTTTCTTTAGCTCACAGATTCCCATAAATAAAAAAGCAATTATTTTTTTTTCACCAGAGAGAACACTTCTGGTGTTCTCTACGATCAACTTTTGTTGATCTAAGTTCTCTAGTGCATCTCTACACTCCGGGATGGGCCTTGGAGGCACAGCTCTGTTGTGGCTCCAGTCCTTCCTGGAGGTTCGATCCCAGATGGTGAAGCTGGGAGACGTCTGCTCGGACCCCTGGCCTTTCACCCTTGGGGTCCCGCAAGGCTCCATTCTGTCTCCCATGCATTTCAACATCTACTCGAAACCGCTGGGAGAGGTCATCCGGAGTTTTGGAGTTGCGTGCCATCTCTACCCACATGGGGGTTCTGTGTGGGAGGTTTGGCTCAATTCTATTATTGGTGGGATTCAGAATGCTCTGTGACTGTAGGTGAACTATAAATCCCAGCAACTACAACTCCCAAATATCAAGATTCTATTTTCCCCAAACTCCACCAGTGTTCACATTTGGTCATATTGAGTATTCATGCCAAGTTTGGTCCAGATCCATCATTGTTTGAGTCCACAGTGCTCTCTGGATGTAGGTGAACTACAACTCCAAAACCAAAGGACACTGCCCACCAAACCCTTCCAGTATTTTCTGTTGGTCATGGGAGAACCGTGTGCCAAGTTTGCTTCAGTTCCATCATTGGTGGAGTTCAGAATGCTTGTATGATTGTAAGTGAACTATAAATCCCAGCAACTACAACTCCCAAATGACAAAATCAATCCCCCCAACTCCACCAGTATTCAAATTTGGGCGTATTTGTTTCTTTAGAAGGAGTAACTTTTCCTTAACATGAGCTACTTTCCTCACACTATCCTGTAATATGTAACAGTGCGTTTCTTTGACCAGCCGCCCCTGGCTGCCTTCCAGAGTATCTAGGTTTCCCCTGGACTACTCTGACCTTTAGGGAAATAAACCCACTTGTATTCTGTCCTAATACAAGTAAACAAGCCTTCACTTTGACTGCCCTAGTCAAGCTATACAGAAGCACTTGCTCTTTAATTATTCCCTAACAGTCTAATTCCTAGCTCACTAAGAAACTCTCTTCTCCCTGTCTGAAATCCTAATCTTTTCTCTGCTAGATCAAATCCTTCTCTCCCCTAGATCAAATCCTTCTCTCTCCCTTCTGTCAGAAATGACAGCCTATTTACACTCTCATTCAACTCCTCCCCTTGGGGTCTGAACCAATCAGGAGCTAGCTGACTCCTCCCCTTGCCTCTCTGCCTATACCATCATGTCCGCCATCCTGAGCTGCCTTCCCAACATGGAGGCCAGCTCACTGACTTCCAGGCTGCGGCCTACGAATAAAAGGTACGAGTTCATTACACATTGCACTAGGGAACTAGAGATTCCTGGAAAGAGCATATTAATTAACCAAATCTGTGAGTGATCAAATCAGCAGAAGTTAAACCCACAAATATGGAGGGCCAACTCTACTCATCTCATAGCTGATACAGATTACGATCCCCCTTTATTGACTTTTGTTCCTCCCAAGCACTGACCTTGACATAGTGGTCCTGCTCGTTGCTGAGGTAGATGTTGTTGTGGAGCACCACCTGGCCATTCCCTTTCTCCACAATCCCTCTGAGACGTCCGTCAACGATATCCAGGTAGAAGAAGTCATTCTCCAGGCCTGACTGGTAAATCAGAGGGGCTTGCTTGACGCTCGTGGTGATCACAAACTCGATGGACCCTTGGTTTCTTGCACTCCAACCTGGGAACGTGATGTAAGAGTTTGGCCCAAGAAAACCAAGTGGGTCATCAGGCCCGGCGGAGAACTCGACGCTGCAACCCTCTCGGACTCCACGGGATCTCTGGCCACCAGACCCAAGAGCAGAGAGGACATCGCGGTCATTGAACGTCACCGCATGGAGACAGCCTCTGAATGGTGTGCTTACACCTACAAGATATGGCAGCTCCAGGCTCCCAGTTCCACCCACATAGAGACCATAATCAACGTCCAGCTCTTGCAGAGGTCCGGGGATTTCCACGGATGCATTGAAGAGGCCGTCCACCATCAGGGTCATCTGCCCGTCTGCCACCAACAGGTCGGCATCATGGATCACAAGGTCGTTGAGATAAGGACCTGCTGGGGACTTGATGGTCAGTTCTTCTGAGCCCAGGTCCATTCTGGCCTGGAAAGTCAAACCATAATTTTATTGATACCCAGAGGCGGCCCTAGGTAATTTTCAATGGTAAGCAAACAGTATTTTGGCGCCCCCCCCCCCCCAACCAATCACTGATATATAGGTTCTTGTGGGTTTTTTCGGGCTATAGGGCCATGTTCTAGAGCAGTGATGGGCAACCTTTTTGAGCTTGGTGTGTCAAAACTCGTCAAAAAACTGAGCATAACTCAGGTCGGGTGTCACTTCGAGGAAAAAAACCAATATAACAAAAATATATTATTGTAATATATAACGGTATTTAATAAACCAAAAACTAATTATTTAACTTACCTGCTCTTTTCTATAATGTCATATATCTCGGCATTATAGAAAAATGCTGGTGCAGGAGCTGAGGATGAAATGTCCTTCTCGGGATGCAGCCCCATTCTTCTGTGTATGTGGCTACATGTGGCCGCGTGTCATCAAAAATGGCTACGCGTGTCAGTGCTGACACACGTGTCATAGGTTCGTCATCATGGTTCTAGAGGCATTTCTCCTGACGTTTCGTCTGCATCTATGGCAAGCATTCTCAGAGGTAGTGAGGTCACTACCTCTGAGGATGCTTGCCATAGATGCAGGCGAAACGTCAGGAGAAATGCCTCTAGAACATGGCCCTATAGCCCGAAAAAAACCCACAAGAACCTAGTGATTCCAGCCATGAAAGCCTTCGACAATACACTGATATATATTTTCTGTTCGTCATGGAAGTTCTGTGTGCCATATTTGGTTCAATTCCATCATTGGTGGAGTTCAGAATGCTCTTTGATTGTAGGTGAACTATACATCCCAGTAACTACAACTCACATCTGTCAAGGTCCATTTCCCCCCAAGAGCGCCTCAAGAGCACCCCTGGGCAAAATGAACTATACTGCGAATGCTTACTGGTTGAGCCGCCCCTGTGTATACTGCTACTCCCAATTTGGCTCGGAGCGGTTTACAGCAGTAGATTAAAACAATACAATTAACTTTAAAATACAATAAAAACAAGAACAGACATAGTCCCGAGTTATTCACCCATCGAAAGCTTGTCGGAAGAGAAAGGTTTTACAGGCTTTCCGAAAAGCAAGTAGGTCTCGGATAGTTCATGTTTCAACTGGCAAGGCATTCCATAAATAAGGGGCCACGATTGAGAAGCCTCTCTGCCTAGTAGAGGACAGATGATAAGTCTGGATGTTGGGGACTTCAAGCAAATTTTCAAGTAATCTCTGGGGTTGGTAGGGGGATAAGCGGGACCTCAGGTACGCCGGCCCCAGACCATATAAGGCCTTAAAGGTTAGTACCAGCACCTTGAAAGTAATCCAGTACTCAATCGGTAACCAGCGCAGCTGTTGTAGAATTGGGGGGATACGACACTTCGCCCGCACCCCGGCGAGAAGATGAGCTGCCGCATTTGCACCAGCTTCAGTTTCCGGATCACTGACAAAGGAAGGCCAATGTAGAGGGTGTTACAGTAGTCAAGCCTTAAGATGACCGTCGTCTGGATCACCGTAGCCAGGTCGTTCCTAGATAGGAAGGGAGCCAGTCGCCTAGCCTGACGCAGATGGAAAAACGCAGATCTGCTCACAGCAGAGACCTGGGCCTCCATTGTGAGCAGAGGGTCCAATAAGACACCAAGGCTTTTTACAGAAGGTGACGGACGTAGTGTCTCGCCATCCAGGGTAGGCAGCTGGATCTCCCTCCCACCCGGACGGCCCAGCCAAAGGATCTCCGTCTTCGCTGGATTCACCCTCAACCTGCTGGCACGCAACCATCCAGTAACGGCCTCAAGGCACTGATGGAAATTTTCGGGTACAGAGTCCGGCCGGCCCTCCATCCTCAGAATGAGCTGAGTGTCATCAGCGTACTGGTGGCACTCAAGCCCAAAGCTCCGCACCAGTCGGGCAAGCGGTCGCATATAGATGTTAAATAATAGAGGAGAGAGAATAGCTCCCTGCGGGACCCCACAAGTTAGCGGAGATCTCTCGGAAACCATCCCTCCCCTCACCACACGCTGTCCCCGATTCTGGAGGAAGGAGGACACCCATTTAAGGGGTACCCCCCTAACCCCAGTCATGGCTAGGCGGAGGGTCAATAGATTGTGATCGACCGTATCAAATACTGCTGTGAGGTCCAATAACACGAGCAGCGCTGATCCGCCTTGATCCATCTGGCAGCGAAGCTGATCTGTGATGGCAACTAGCACAGTCTTCGTCCCGTGCCCACTACGGAAGCCGGACTGGAAGGGATCATCATGGTTGGAGCAATCATTTATGGAGCAATTTCTGAAGGTCCCTATTTTTTCATCTCCATCCCACCAGTGAGGTTGAGACACTATATGAGGATGTGGGTTCAGGGCCTTGTCCACTATGGAACCCCAATTACAGAATGCCTTCCCAGTGGAGGCCCAATTGGTACCAGTTCAACTCCCAAGATCTGAAGCAGAACACATGGATCTCACCCATCTAAACCAGTTGTTGTTGGGTGTCTTCAATGTGGACATGGAAAACCACAGTCCTGCCATGGGCGAGTCATATACTCTCAACCCTATAAAACCCCACAGAGCTATGAAATGATTTGGAAAAAGATTCAAAATGACCTCCAAAACTGGAATCATCTCAAATTGTCCCTACTCGGCCGAATATCATTGGTAAAAATGAATGTGCTACCAAAGTTAATATTCCTTTTTCAGAATATACCTGTAATAAGAAATCAGACTTTATTTAAAAAATGGAAGAAAGACCTACTAAAATTTGTCTGGAAGGGGAAAAGTCCAAGAATAAACTATATATATATAAAAAATAGAGGTGGTCTTGGTTTCCCAGACTTGAAAACCTATCACGAAGCATGTGCTCTCCTTTGGATAAATTTATTATTTATTTATTTATTTATTTGGTGCATTTATTGACCGCCGCTCTCAGCCCTAGGGCGACTCGCGGCGGTGTACAGCATATAAAAACAGTTTACAAAAACAGAAACAAGCAATCCACACAACAATAATATACAATACTATAAGTTACACTAAATAATCCGCTCCGTCATATCATAGAATCATATCCAATATCGTAGTCCATATTCCGTTCCAGATGTCAATTACCAGTTGCCGTAATATTCAGTTAAATGCCTTCTCGAAAAGCCAGGTCTTTAGGTTCCTACGGAAGGACAAAAGGGAGGGCGCCTGTCTGATGTCAACAGGGAGGTCGTTCCACAGCCGGGGGGCCACCACCAAGAAGGCCCTCTCTCTCGTCCCCGCCAGGCGTGCCTGTGAAGCAGGCGGGATCGAGAGAAGGGCCTCCCCAGATGATCTCAAGGTCCTCGTGGGCTCATAGGCCGAGATGCGGTCCGAAAGGTATTTTGGGCCGGAACCGTTTAGGGCTTTGTAGGATAACACCAGCACCTTGAATTGGGCCCGGTAGCAGATCGGCAGCCAGTGGAGCTGGGACAACAAGGGCGTTGTGTGCTCCCTGCGTCCCGCTCCTGTTAGTAACATGGCTGCCGCGCGCTGGACTAGCTGAAGCTTCCGGGCCGTCTTCAAGGGCAGCCCCACGTAGAGAGCGTTGCAGTAGTCAAGGCGGGATGTGACCAGAGCATGTACCACCGTGGCCAAGTCAGACTTCCCAAGGTACGGGCGCAGCTGGCGCACGAGCCTAAGCTGTGCGAATGCTCCCCTGGTCACCGCTGAAACCTGGGGATCCAGGCTCAATGATGAATCCAGGGTCACACCCAAGCTGCGAACCTGTGCCTTCAAGGGGAGTGCGACCCCGTCTGGATGACATTAAAGACTGGATGACATTAAAAAATGAGAAATATTTAAATTTGGAGGGTCATGACTTGAGGGTAGGTTGGCATGCTTATATTTGGTACGATAGAGAAATTAAAGAAAAGAGTTTTGGCAACCATTTTGAAAGAGCCTCACTACTAAGAACTTGGATGAGGTACAAAAGACTCTTCTACAAAACGACACCATTATGGGTCTCTCCAATGGAGGCTCATCAAAGGAGACTTTTAGGTTGGAGAATATGGCCGACATACAAAGATATTTTAATTAAAGGCACAATGGATATTAAGACTTTTGAACAACTGAAGACAAACTACGAAAATATAACATGGCTTCATTATTTACGTATCAAAGATTATTATAAACAAGATAAAAACAACAGGATTTGACTGGGATAAAATTTTGAAGAGGGAAAGGAAAATAGTTACAATGATCTATAATAAATTGCTAGCATGGACAACAGAAAAAAAACAGGTCAAATCTTGTATGATTAAGTGGGCGGAAAATTTAAGGAGACCAATCCAATTCAGGGAGTGGGAACAAATGTGGAACAAAAAGTTAAAATATACTTATGACATGGATTTAAAGGAAAACTGGTTTAAAATGTTCCACAGATGGTACACCACTCCAAAAAAATTAAGCCATATGTATAAAAATACATCGGATAAGTGTTGGAAATGTTGTGAAGAAGTAGGTACGTTCTATCATATGTGGTGGACATGCAAGGAAGCAACCAAATATTACTCTTTAATCCACAAGGAAACACAAAAAAACTTTAAACAAAAAGTTCAAGAAAAAACCAGAATACTATTTGTTGGGCTTTGTTGTTGTTGTTCATTCGTTCAGTCGTCTCCGACTCTTCGTGACCTCATGGACCATCCTACGCCAGAACTCCCTGTCGGCCGTCACCACCCCCAGCTCCTTCAAGGTCAGTCCAGTCACTTCAAGGATGCCATCCATCCATCTTGCCCTTGGTCGGCCCCTCTTCCTTTTGCCTTCCACTTTCCCCAGCATAATTGTCTTCTCTAGGCTTTCCTGTCTCCTCATGATGTGGCCAAAGTACTTCAACTTTGTCTCTAGTATCCTTCCCTCCAATGAGCAGTCGGGCTTTATTTCCTGGAGGATGGACTGGTTGGATCTTCTCGCAGTCCAAGGCAGTCTCAGCACTTTCCTCCAACACCACAGCTCAAAAGCATCGATCTTCCTTCGCTCAGCCTTCCCTAAGGTCCAGCTCTCACATCCGTAGGTAACTACAGGGAATACCATGGCTTTGACTAGGCGGATCTTTGTTGCCAGTCTGATGTCTCTACTCTTTACTATTTTATCGAGACTGGACATTGCTCTCCTCCCAAGAAGTAAGCGTCTTCTGATTTTCTGGCTACAGTCTGCATCTGCAGTAATCTTTGCACCTAGAAATACAAAGTCTGTCACGGCCTCCACGGTTTCTCCCTCTATTTTCCAGTTGTCAATCATTCTTGTTGCCATAATCTTGGTTTTTTTGACGTTTTTGTTGGGCTTTACTGACTTGGAATTACATTTGGAGGGAAATGAAGATAAACTATTGACATTTATTACAACAGCGGCGAGAATTATATTTGCTAAATCTTGGAAAAAAGAACAAATCCCCACGGTGGATGAGTGAGTGGATAAGGTTAAAGAGATAAGAGACATGGACGAGTTAACTTTTTTTGCTAAAGAAAAATACCGGGAAATCTATAAAAAAGACAAGAGTGGATTCTTTTTTATGTCTATGAAAAGAATAGAAAAGAGAAAGAAACGAAGAAGAGGTAAATAACAATGAAATAAAAGATAAGAAGATCCTGAGATTGGAATGGAAGTCATTTTATTTTTGTATTTTTGTATTTTTGCATTATTTTTGTATTTTTGTATTATTTTTGTATTTTTTTTTGTATTTTTGTTTTTTTGTTTTCTTTCTTTCTCCTTTTTTATTGATTGTATTTCCTACTTTTCTATCTTCTCTCTGAATATTCCCCCTCTTTCCATGTATTTATGTTTCAAACTGTTTAATAATTTTTTTTTTAACTCCCCCCCCCCCCCCCCCCCCCCCCCACAGAGCTCTGCCTTTGGGTGTCCGGTTGAAAACACCCAACAAGAACCAGGATCAGGATTATGGAGACCAGGGTTTGAATCTCCATTCAGCCATGACAGAAAGCCAATAGACAATAACAAATCTTACCAGTAAAACCCCATTACAGATTTACTCTAGGATTGCAATAAATTCCCCAACAAATAACAACAAAGTCTCCAAATTTGGAAACAGAATTCAGCACCCCAATTTAACCCAAACTGGGAGAGTTCATACATCTTCTTTAAGTGTATATAGTTGTTCAACAACTTGGTGCAATGGGTGGACATCTCACCAACCTGTAGGATGCCAGCATTGAGCTCCAGCAGGAGATAATCTGTTTGCCCTGCGGCCAGGAAAAGAAGTCCATTGCGCTGACTGGTGTAGAACTGGATGTGAAGCTGGACGGTGCTGTAGGTGCTTGCCAAGGGCATTTCTAGGTAGCCATCTCCAAAGAAGGATGCTGAAAGGAAGAAATCCATAGGTCAGACTTACCAAGACCCTTTAGGCCAATGTTTCTCAATCTGGGTGTCGGGTCATTAGGAGGTTTCAGAGGGGTCACCAAAGACCATCAGAAAACACATATTTCTGATGGTCTTAGGAACCCTTTTGACAGGGAAGGCTGAAGATGTCTCCACCTGTCCTTTTCCTCCTTTTTGGTGGTGGTGAACTACAACTCCCAGAATTCAAAAACAGTCCCCCCCCCCCCAACCTCACTAGTATTCAATGTTGGCTATGTAGGTAGTATGCCAAGTTTGGTGCAGATCCATTGTGGGCTGAGTTCAGAGTGCTCTTTGATTGTAGGTGAACTATAAATCCTAGCAACAACTCCTCCCAAATGCCAAGATCTATTTTCTGTTGGTCACGGGGGTTCTGTGTGGGAAGTTTGGCCAATTCTATCATTGGTGGGGTTCAGAATGCTCTTTGATTGTAGGTGAACTATAAATCCCAACAACTTACAACTCCCAAATGTCAAAGTCTATTTCCCCCAAACTCCACCAGTGTTCACATTTGGGCATACTGAGTATTCGTGCCAAGTTTGGTCCAAATCCATCATTGTTTGAGTCCACAGTGCTCCCTGGTTGTAGGTGAACTACAATTCCAAAACTCACGGTCAATGCCCATCAAACCCTTCCAGTATTTTCTGTTGACTGTGGGAGTTCTGTGTGCCAAGTTTGATTCAATTCCATTGTTGGTGGCATTCTGAATGCTTTTTAATTGTAGGTGAACTATAAATCCCAACAACTACAACTCCCAAATGTCAATGTCTATTTTCCCCAAACTCCACCAGTGTTCATATTTGGGCATACTGAGTATTCATGCCAAATTTGTTCCAAATCCACCATTGTTTGAGTCCACAGTGCTTTCTGCAGGTAGGTGAACTACAACTCAATCCCTTCCAGTATTTTCTGTTTGTTGTGGGAGTTCTGCATGCCAAGTTGGTTCAATTCCATCATTGGTGGAGTTCAGAATGCTCTTTGATTGTAGGTGAACTATACATCCCAGCAATTACAACTCCCAAATGTCAAAGTCTATTTTCCCCAAACTCCACCAGTGTTCACATTTGGGCATACTTAGTATTTGTGCCAAGTTTGGTCCAAACCCACCATTGTTTGAGTCCACAGTGCTTTCTGTGTATTTGTGATAAGTTTGGTTCAATTCCATCGTTGGCGGAGTTCAGAATGCTCTTTCATTGTAGGTGAACTATACATCCCAGAAACTGCAACACCCAAAAAACAAAATTGGGTATTTGTGCCAAATTTGGTCCAGTGAATGAAAATACATCCTGCAGATCAGATATTTACATTGCAATTCATAACAGTAGAAAAAGTACAGAATAATGTTATTGTTGGGAGTCAACCCAACATGAGGAAATGTATTAAGGGGTCACGGCATTCGGAAGGTTGGGAACCACTGCTTTAGGCAAATAGTGGCTGGTAGATCCCATAGCATTGAAGCCATGATCTTGAATGTTGAAGGAGCTTTCCATGATGCTGAACCTAGTTTAGAGAGAGAATTCAGCACCATGGCCAGCTCAGTTTGGGTATTCAAAGCTCTGTTGATATACAGATTTAAATAATACGGATTTAAAGATCAAGCTGCAAAGACTCTGGCACAAGTCAAGGTGGTCCCAGTGGTGATTGGCACACTGGGTGCAGAGCTAAAGACCTTGGCCTGCACTTAAAAAAAAAAAAAGAGCTGACAAAATTACCATCTGTCAGCTGCAAAAGGCCACCCTGCTCGGACCTTCATGCATTATTTGCTGATACATCACACAGTCCTAGACACTTGGGAAGTGTCCAACGTGTGATCCAATACAACAGCCAGCCGAGTGATCTTGTTTACTGTGTACCAATCTTGTTGTGTATCTAATAATAATAATAATAATAATAATAATAATAATAATAATAATACAGATTTAAAGACCGAACTGCAAAGATTCTGGCACAAGCCAGTCAAGGTGGTCCCAGTGGTGATCGGCACACTGGGTGCAGTGCCTGAAGACCTTGGCCTGCACTTAAACACAACTGGCGCTGATAGAATTACTATCTGCCAGCTGCAAAAGGCCATCTTACTGGGATCTGCATGCATTATTCGCCAATACATCAGTCTTAGATACTTGGAGAAGTGTCCAACATGTGATTAAATACAACATCTAGCATAGTGATCTTGTTTGCTGTGTACCAATCTTGTTGTGTATCAAATAATGATAATAATAAGAATAATAACAACAATAATAATATCTCATCTTCTGTGACATACTGTGGTTTTGTGTCAGTAAAATAATAATAATATGGATTTAAAGATCAAGCTGCAAAGACTCTGGCACAAGCCAGTCAAGATGGTCCCAGTGGTGATTGGCACATTGTGTGCAGAGCTAAAGACCTTGGCCTGCACTTAAACACAATTGTCACTGACAAAATTACCATTTGTCAGCTGCAAAAGGCCACCTTGCTGGGATCTGCACGCATTATTCTTGTTGTGTTTCAAATAATAATAATAATAATAATAATAATAATAATAATAATATCTCGTTTGCTGTGACATACTGTGGTTTTGTGTCAGTAAAATAATAATAATAATAATAATAATAATAATAATAATAATAATAATAATAATACAGATTTAAAGATCAAGCTGCAAAGACTCTGGCACAAGCCAGTCAAGCTGGTCCCAGTGGTGATCGGCACATTGTGTGCGGAGCTAAAGACCTTGGCCTGCACTTAAACACAATCAGCGCTGACAAAATTACCATTTGTCAGCTGCAAAAGGCCACCTTACTGGGATCTGCACGCATTATTCTTGTTGTGTTTCAAATAATAATAATAATAATAATAATAATAATAATAATAATAATATGCCGATACATCACACAGTCCTAGACGCTTGGGAAGTGTCCGACCTGTGATCCAATACAACAGCCAGCAGAGTGATCTTGTTTGCTGTGAACTCATCTTGTTGTGTATCAAATAATAATAATAATAATAATATATGCCGATACATCACACAGTCCTAGACACGTGTCCGACGTGTGATCCAATACAACAGCCAGCAGAGTGATCTTGTTTACTGTGGACTCATCTTGTTGTGTTTCAAATAATGATGATAATAATAATAATAATAATAATAATAATAATAATAATAATAATTGATTGCAGTCTGACTCTTTATTAGGCTTCCTTGTGGGTTGGATTTTTTTTTAAAAGGTCCCCAATGTTTGCCATTCCAGTCACCAACGCTAGATGGGGAAATTAACTCTCTATTCGGAAAACTATTTTTGCAACCACCACCTGTACCATCTCCGGGAGCAGTTCAGCTAGTGATGAAATGTATTTATGAGCTGGATACACTCGCGCATTGCCAAACACAGCTTTGGCTTAATTTGTGCCAGAGCCCAGTCTAACGAAATCAACTGCAGCATGGATCGTACATATCAAAAGAAGATGAGACTCAATGTTGAGCTATGTCAGATCAGACCCCAATTTTGCCGTACGAAAAACCCAAACTAAGAAATACCCGGGTGTGCTTTCCAGCAGAGACTATGACTCAGGCCCCACTGGATTGTACAATCCCTGCTGTAGGGCAGTGTAGACTCATATAATACAGTTCAAAGCAAATAATCTGGATTCAGAAGCTGCGTTATATGGCAGCCTCAAATCAGTATAGAATCATATAACCCAGTTCAAAACAGATAATGTGTATTAACTGTGTTGATAACGCGGAGTATATGGAAGTGTAGATCCATCTTAAGGGTGCTTCTACATAGTAGAATTAATCCAGTTTGACACCACTTAATTGCCATGGTTCAATGCTATGGAATCCTGGGAGTTGTTGTTTCCAGCACTACGGGACCAAAAAGGCCTTGTAAAACTACAGTTCCCAGGATTCCATCACATTCACCACCTAACAATGTAGATGCCCTTTTATGTAGGACAGTGGTCCGTGGATCACTAGTGGTCCCCAAGAACTAAAATATGGTCCATGGCCTCATCATTACTACACCATTGCAACGAGAGCAACTGGTACTAATGTTGGAGAGTGGTCCCTGGTCAAAGTAGTCCCTGGTCAAAGTGGTCTGTGGTCAAAGTGGTTTCTGTTCAAGTGGTCCCAGGTCAAAGTGGTCTGTGGTCAAAGTGGTTCCTGTTCAAGTGGTCCCTGGACAAAGTGGTATCTGGTCAAGTGACCCCTGGTCAGGTGGTCCCTGGTCAATGTGGTCTCTGGTCAAAGTGGTCTCTGGTCAAAGAGGTCCCTGGTCAAGTGATCCCAGGTCAAAGTGATCTGTGGTCAAAATGGTTCCTGTTCAAGTGCTCCCTGGTGAAAATGGACCCTGGTCAAGTGGTCTCTGGTCAAAGTGGGTCCTGTTCAAGTGGTCCCTGATCAAAGTGGTCTCTGGTCAAATGGTCTCTGGTCAAGTGGTCCCAGGTCAAAGTGGTCTCTGATCAGGTGGTCCCTGGTCAAAGTGGTCCTGGCCAAAGTGGTTCCTGTTCATGTGGTCCCTGGTCAAAGTGGTCCCTGGTCTATGTGGTCCCTGGTCAAAGTGGTCCCAGGTCAAAGTGGTCCCTGGTTAAGTGGTCCCTGGTCTATGTGGTCCCTAGTCAAAGTGGTCCTGTTTAAAGTTGTCTCTGGTCAAGTGGTCCCAGGTCAAGAGGTCCCTGGTCAGGTGGCCCCTGGTCAAAGTGGTCCCAGGTCAAAATGGTCCCTGGTCAAAATGGTCCCTGGTCAAAAAAAGGTTGGGAACCACTGATGTAGGACCTTCTCTCCATTGGGCTTTAGTTTGAACTTGCAGGACGCTCTCCAAGGTGCTGAAGCCTAAAACTATATAATTTTTCAAGTTCTATATCTCTGCAACCACATGAATGTCATAGGGATTTCTCTGCCAGTCCCTTCCTCTGAAAGAGAGCCTGCAGCATCTTGTTTTTGCTGGCCATTTCCCATTCAAGATCTAACCAGTGTTGACCTTGC